CGATCACCTTCTACGGAATCATCTTCTTGCGTTTCTTCTCTTTTGATTTCGTCAACAGCTTCAATCTCTCTCTCACGATTCCCCTTCCTTACCTCTGCACTTTCCACATACTCACTCGGTGATAACGCTTTATCATGCGTTACTGCTTTTGATTCGGCAAGTTTCGTATCGAATGAATTATCTGAAAAAGACATACATAACAACATAATCAATTGACCGCGTCAGGTGTATTCGGTTAATACAAACACAAAGTACATTCATAGCGTTTCTATTCTTCAATTCATGTACGCAGAAAAATTACAAAGCAATTGATAATCAATAAATCACAACCAAAATCATTACCTTTTTGAATACTGGTGTCAGTCACATGTTCTGTTACATCAGTCACATCCGTTGTAACAATGATATTTTGCGACACTTCATTACTGCTATCAATTTCAACAGCGTTACGCTCCTCTTCTTCAGTTCCGCTCGAAATTTCGTTCGAATCGATTGCTTCCGGTGCTTCTTTCACAACACTCTCAGTTACAGCACCATCATCACTTTCTTGGTTTTTATCACTGTCACCAGCAAAAGCATCATCAGGTTTATCCACGACCAGTTCGGCTGGTTCAACCAGCTTCTCCGATTCCACTTCCTTTCCTTTCTCTTCAATGTCACTTTCTTTCGCATTTCTCTCTTGCTGACCACTGCTCTCTTGAGCGAATCTGCAAACGTTACACACAAATATCGCTTTAGATCGTACGAAAATGCTTTAGATCAATCGATTATTTATACGATCATATATCATACAAAACATCGACATATTTCTTTGAATGAATTCACAAATCAAAATTCAGAATTCTCTTCGATATTCATCGAACCTACAAGCATCTAAAAACCCAACAACTGAAATTATTAAGTGAACCTGGTCAAATATTGATCCATTTCTTGATATTCTTGTGTCATACGCTTTTGCTCGTTGGCAGTCTTAAAGAAATGGGATATCAGCTATTAACTATGAACAGCATCGGCTACTAAAGTACGACGATAAATAGCTATGAAATGATTATTCATATTCTCAATTTACGAAATCCGCTAAGCTCTATTATATGCCATACACACATTAATCATTTTACCACGCACAAGAGCCGTGAATGACTCATTTCATCGCTTCAATATGTCGATAAGAATATTATAACAATGACTATCGGATAGACATAAACAATTCTATTAATTGCATCAAATTTCACACCGAAACTTAACGAGCGGCACTCTACGCAATCAAATGAATTAAACTTCGACTGTGTTTAGCTCGGAAACGATAAATCGATTGCAAATTTTTGAATTCATTTAACTTCATACTTATGGAGAAATCATATCAAGTAAAACTCATCGCTAATAATAAGACACAAAAATACCTTTCCACGTGTTTGTCCGAAATTTGTCGTACTTTTGGTGGAGCTTTCCAAAGAACTACGTTTGAATTTATCCCTCAACCTTCCTGTCGCCTAAATTAGAAAAATGCTGATGAAAGAGAAAAGCAACGAATAAAATAATGAAGCGAGAGCAAAATAACGATAATGACGGTGAAATAACTCAATGTTAACCGGCAACTGCTAAGAAAATAATCACTAAGCATAACTGTAGCAAACGTTAGAAAAGGGACAAACTAAGGGAAATATAGGGAAGACTTTTCATTTGATCCTCTTCAACAATGAAAAATAACCTAATTCTCAGTACTCGAACAGATTCAATTTAGCAGTTGATGATATAAATCTCTTTCGTAAAATAAAAAAAATCTTCTGCACGAAAACCGACTTAACGAAAAGTTCAAATGAAAAATACTGCTTGAGAGTGGTGAATGTGAACGTGAAACTTACCACTGATAAGCCATTGTTACAACCAATTTCCTTGACATCCGGCATAGATGGTTTTTGACCATCAGAAATATTTGATTCTTCTGATAAACCAATTCTCTTCTTTTGATTCTCATTTGCGATAGATTTCGATGTCAATTCCGATCCCTTATGGTGACCTGTCTCACTCTGTTTGTTGGTTTCGTTCAGCTCCAATGATTCATCACATTCTGAGCGGTCGGCAACAGAAACGTCGAGGTGATGCTCATTTTCTCCACAATATTTTTCGACTTCTTCTGTCATCTCGTTCGGTCTATTCGAGTTTCCGTCTATTTTATCTCCTGCTGTCCGATTTATTTCTGCAGTATTGTCGATGCTATCAACGAAAGGATCATGCAGGTTGCCTGAACCATCCATCACGTTTTCCACAGTCCCATTCTGCAATTTTGCTCTGTTTGGAATGCTGGTCGTCGAGATTTTTGCCTCAGAAACTTCGGATAAGTTTTTCAGAGATGAAGATGAAGATTCAATTTCCCTCGAGGCCGGCGTAACGGTGATATCTCGAAGATTCAGCAAAGGCTGTGCTGAAGACGGCAGAGACGGGAACTGATCAATATCACTATTAAATTTACTGGAAACTGATTGTTTTATCACGGATGTTTTTGTTAATAATGACCCTCGGCTATCATCATTCGACGACAAAGTTTCATGGTCGTCAATTTTTTTGGCCGCAACATCTCGTCGATCGGAATGTGAAGAGTGGTGCGCAAAAACAGTGGCAATAGATGGCCTGACCAAGGCATCTTCAGAAGCTTCTAATTGATCTAATAATTCATCCATGTCGGGGACAGAATCCATCTTGTAGAATCTCGTTTAGTTCCAAATGGAACCACCAGATCGTGAAAGCTTTCGATCGACAACAATTCTT